GACTTGATGTAACGAGGTTTGGTGTAACGGGACTTGGTGTAAGGGCACTCAGTGTAGCGAGACCTGGTGTAACGGGACTTGATGTAACGAGGTTTGGTGTAACGGGACTTGGTGTAAGGGCACTCACTGTAACGAGACCTGGTGTAACGGGACTTGATGTAACGAGGTTTGGTGTAACGGGACTTGGTGTAATGGCACTCAGTGTAGCGAGACTTGGTGTAACGGGACTTGATGTAACGAGGTTTGGTGTAACGGGACTTGGTGTAAGGGCACTCACTGTAACGAGACCTGGTGTAACGGGACTTGATTTAACGAGATTTGGTGTAACGGGACTTGGTGTAAGGGCACTCACTGTAACGAGACCTGGTGTAACGGGACTTGATGTAACGAGATTTGGTGTAACGGGACTTGGTGTAAGGGCACTTAGTGAAGGGAGACTTGGTGTAACGGGACTTGATGTAACGAGGTTTGGTGTAACGGGACTTGGTGTAAGGGCACTCACTGTAACGAGACCTGGTGTAACGGGACTTGATGTAACGAGATTTGGTGTAACGGGACTTGGTGTAAGGGCACTTAGTGAAGGGAGACTTGGTGTAACGGGACTTGATGTAACGAGGTTTGGTGTAACGGGACTTGGTGTAAGGGCACTTAGTGAAGCGAGACTTGATGTAACGGGACTTGATGTAACGAGACGTGGTGTAACGAGACTTGATGTAACGGGACTTGATGTAACGGGACTTGATGTAACGAGACTTGATGTAACAGGACTTGATGTAACGAGACGTGGTGTAACGGGACTTGGTGTAACGCGACTAGATTTTTGTAATGACATTAGTAAATGACACGTTTTCAACTTTTGTGAACCTAAGATGTATGATCAAGAATCTTGATCAGAGAGAGTACTGGGTTCGAACCCAGTACCATTAGAGTCTGGTGTGTGTAATCCTAATACAACTCGCTCGCGTTCAGATCCAAATATAGACTGACTCATTCGTCTCTCATAGAACAGTGGATATTGTCTCATTGGTTATCAACTGTTAGAATCACAATACGATATGAGCGATTTAAATTTATTGAGTGTGTGCATATTGTTTAACATATGGCACGTAATGCATTGCAAAACACCATTTAGATCTGAAACCTAAAAATACTGGAATGGTGTAATGTTCTGATTGACATCGACGTCCACATTAACCAGGTTCCAGTGTATAAACCTCAATGCGTCTAAATTGTTTTTCTTGGAGGGTGTGTGTGTTTTATTAAATGTGTAAATTCATGTTACATATATAAAAAATATAATTTCCTGCCAATCTCTGCATTTAATAACCGTACCGTACAGTACATTCACCCCTCGGTAATCTTAGTAGAGGTAATCTCGTTGATGAATTGAAAATAGCTAAATTGTCTTCTTGAAAACTTTACTCATTTTTCATTCCGCTGCATGCGGTCGGGTTTTACCACCATAATGATGCTTAAACGGCGTCATTACTTTCATATCCCTTCAACAACACTTTAAAGAAGCCATAATTTTACACGTTGCTTATAAAAATATAGATCATCTTTTTCCTGTGCGTGTAAATCTTCCGCTGTGCCGTGACAACATAACGGCCATCACTGCCCGGCACATCCTGCTTTGCAGAGTACTAAGACTTCACTGTAAAGTAAGGTGATTTACCTTTTGTCCTGGATAGGCTTGATGTCAATGACCAGATAGGGCGTTGTCTTTGCACTCCAGGTGAAAGTCTTTGGTGGGTGGGTGGGTGAGTGAGTGAGTGAGTGAGTGAGTGAGTGAGTGAGTGAGTGAGTGAGTGAGTGAGTGAGTGAGTGAGTGAGTGAGTGAGTGAGTGAGTGAGTGAGTGAGTGAGTGAGTGTTTTACCCTGCTTTTAGCTATATTCCAGCAATATCACGGCGGGGGACACCAGACTTGGAACCGATTTTATCGTTTTAATTAAGATGCTGATGTTGTGTAGGTTGTCCCGTCCGATCGCAGAATTAGCTTTGTAATCAACCCGATTAAGCAGTGTTGACTTCTAATAACTGCACGTGGTAAATTAACGATAAATTATCACGTCGGTATTCGTCCATAATGTGAGGTTTCCGTACTTATGGGTGTCCGGATTGAAGATGTTTTAGAAGACGGTTTGCTCTGAAGATGTTATTTGCTTTGAAGAAAAAGTATATTCTGCCAGTTAACTTTAAATTACTGCAGCACATTTCATTGCTATTTCAACCCTGTTTTTTACCCTGGGTATTTGCAAACATCTGAATCATAATAATTATGTTATTAATACAATATGTACAATCGGCAAGGTCATTTCCAAAACCATCCGGAATCTCTGCTAAAAGGCAAGGAACATCATGAGCATCGATCTACGCAACTGGGATACGATGACATGTGTCAACCAAGTCAGCTTACCTGACCACTCGATCCCGTTAGTCGCCTCTTACGACAAGCATGGGTTGCCGAAGGCCAATTCTAACCCAGGTCTTTACGGGTCAGATTTAACATGAACCAACACGCAAGGTCGATGATGAGTAAAAACAATAACCTGATTAAGGAGGTTCAAGTGTTGCAAATATGTCAAATTGCTGCGTTCTAATCCGACGCGAGGATTTGTCTATCCTCGAACCAGCGGCAGATTGTTCTGTGCCAATCTGTAGACATAATACGAATCACACAAGACTTTTAGCATCATGTCAGAGGGAGTGTGCTCTATCTCTAGGACATCAAATCTAGGCCACTGCTCCATGCTATTATCTTTGCAACTGCCCTCCATAAAGATATTCAACCTCATGCATAATATATTCTACACGACTATCAAATTCCCATCGGTCACTGACTGTCCGGCACTGACCAGCACCACCCACGCAGTATTGATTATTGGTCAGTTTGGCCAAACACTGTAGCTCATTAATCTGTAACCTAGGCAACGGTCATGAATGCTTCAAATTGACGTTCGGGAAACATAAAAACCTCTGTGCCAAGTCTGTAGTAGATTACAATTAACGAGATAAAAATTGGTCGAGACAAGAAATCTTGCTCACTGTGATTTTGGCATCCTTGGTTTGCTCACAGTGCCACTGCTAATGGTGCCATTTAACTTGATCTTGAATGGTAAAGGAATTTAGGAGGATTTAACTGGTGGTCCTATCGCAAGCATGACCCCATTCCGATAAGACATGTATTTGGTCTTTGACTTAAGGCTGGTTTGGGAATTAAGGGGCTTTGGAGTTGAATACGGTGCCCAACCGATGTAATCGTGAAACAGGGAAAGTGAATTTGTTTCGTACACGCTCGCACACTGAAGAGTTAGGTTCTACTTGAGCATCATTTGATAGGTTTGGAGATCATCTAATGTGACAATATGATCAGCATTAATAGCAGTGCTTGCTGGATCCATAAATACGGGGGTTCTGTCGTAATTAGCCATTTATCGTTGTGGTACATTTTGCAAGGTTGGGGATAATCTTGACGTTTTTCTCGGGCATCACTAAGACAATGGTTTTACGATGCTTTGGTGGTCAGCGTTATGGCCGGTGGTCAGTGTTATGACCGGTGGTCAACGTTATGACCGGTGTTCGATCAACGCCGGAACTGGTCAAGGAGTGTACGTGTGGGTGAGGAACGGTCAGTGGGTGGGAATGTGAGCGAGCGAGAGAGCCATTATCCATCTTCAAGAAGGAAGGGGGTTACAGGCTATTAAAAGTCATGTTTCCGCCTTTGTCGAAATGGGATGAATTTCGTATTTCGGTTGAACTAACGAGTTCATGCATTATCTGATCAAAATCGCACATTAAACATAGACATCCAGTTCGTAAGAACCATTACGACTGCTGTGAAAAGTTCGTTCATGATCAGTTACAGGATTCGTAAAGCATGTGCATCGTCAACATTAAAGAGGACGATTGCCGAGGGTTTGATTACCGTGCAACATTCCCATCCATTCTAGATCACAAAACACTCTACATGGGCTACTCTACTTGGTTGCTCGACTTAGGTTCGAGTTCGAGTGTGTGTGTGTGTGTGTGTGTATCCGTTTTTCCGTCCTTTGTCCTTCTTTGTCCTCTCTATCCCAGTTCCTCTTTCTCTCTCTCTCACTCTCTCTCTCACTCACTCTTTCTCTCACTCTCTGTGTCTCTCTCTCTCACTCACTTTCTCTCTCTCTCTCTCTCTCTCTCTCACTCTTTCTCTCACTCTCTCTCTCTCTCTCTCTCTCTCTCTCTCACTCTTTCTCTCTCTCTCTCTCTCTCACTCACTCTGTCTCTCTCTCACTCTCACTCTTTCTCTCACTCTCTCTCTCTCTCACTCTCTCTCTTTTAATTTTGAAAAGAATCACTCACGGAGATGGCGGAAGGGATGTGCGTTGTTTCAGGGCCAGCGAGACAGAACAAACAAACGCGCGCACACACACACGCACGCGCACTCTAACACACACACACGCACGCACGAGTACAGTAACACACGCACATACGCACGCACACGTACACACATATACACACACCAAGTGCATTAGCATTGAACATGATGCTCAACTCCATGTCCAGCCATATCCTCTTATTAATAATCACAGCATTGGTGGCTGTTAACATAGTATTCAATACTTGTGTTCAATCTTGCCGCAACTGAATGCATGATGCATGCTTTGAATGCATAATGATGTCCTGACTATATGAGACATGCTTTGAATGCATGAAATACCCTCGATTAATAACATTGCTCGTCTGGGGATTAACACAATAATGTCTTCACATCTCTCGTAATGCAAAAACAACGTCACATACAGCGACGTGGTCCTTCGCTATACAGAGAGACCCTGCACTATAACGCTCTCTGGAACGTGGTCCACTTACTTCCAGTCACGTTACTGCCACAAAAGTCTAAAACAGATCAACAGCAACACGGTCAAATAATATAATGTACATCTACAGCGTCGTCTAATGCGTTTAAATGTCATTAAACTTATACCAACCACTCGCGTTCCGTTAAGTGTCTCATATTTTTCTCTATTGTGTCACTTTCCTCAATTGCTTGTTAATTCCGTTATGTGGATAGTACATCGCCGTGGGAATAGATTTGTCTACGAATATTGTTGCGTGTTCTACATGAGTAGTCATGCTGATCCCGAGTATCGATGGCTTCATTAACGATTGATATATGCGGTGAATTATCACGAATGGCTGGGGGTTTCAAAGGCAAATGACGTCCCTAGCTCCAAGCGACATGGGCATTGAATCGAATGAAATATGAAGGCTTGGTAAAGAAACCTTTGTATTTGTTGGCATGGTGAATTTGTGCCACAAAGGTTGTTTTGGGCATTTGTCGTGTAAAATAAAGTTTAAATATTTGATTTGATCCAGGTTGTTCTTTAAATAGTATATTTGCAAATCTTTGTTTTGTAGGCTCTCGTTCAGATCCGTGAAGATCCGGGTTAGATCTTCAACAACCCATGCTTGTTGTAAAACGAGGTCCTGTGGTCAGGTTCACTGACTTTGTTGACACATGCCTTGGTATCCATAAATGTTTGAACACCACGTTCCATCATTGGTTTCACCACGGTTCCATCATTGGTTTCACCATGGGTTTCATCATTGGTTTCACCACGGTTCCATTAATGGTTTCACCGCGGTTCCATCATTGGTTTCACCACGGTTCCATCATTGGTTTCACCATGGGTTTCATCATTGGTTTCACCATGGGTTTCATCATTGGTTTCACCATGGGTTTCATCATTGGTTTCACCACGGTTCCATCATTGTTTCACCATTGGTTTCAGCCCGGTTCCATCATTGGTTTCACCACGGTTCCATCATTGGTTTCACCACGGTTCCATCAATGGTTTCACCACAGTTCCATCATTGGTTTCACCACGGTTCCATCATTGGTTTTATCACAGTTGCATCATTGGTTTCACCCATCATTGGTTTCACCATGGGTTTCATCATCACCATGGTTTCACCACGGTTCCATCATTGGTTTCACCACATCACCCCGGTTCCATCATTGGTTTGGTTCCATCATTGGTTTCACCACGGTTCCATCAATGGTTTCACCACAGTTCCATCATTGGTTTCACCACGGTTCCATCATTGGTTTTATCACAGTTGCATCATTGGTTTCACCATGGGTTCCATCATTGGTTTCACCACAGTTCCATCATTGGTTTCACCACGGTTCCATCATTGGTTTCATCACAGTTGCATCATTGGTTTCACCACGGTTCCATAATTGGTTCACCATGGGTTCCATCAATGGTTTCAACACGGTTCCATCATTGGTTTCAACACGGTTCCATCATTGGCTTCACCACCGTTCCATCATTGGTTTCATCACAGTTGCATCATTGGTTTCACCATGGGTTTCATCATTGGTTTCACCATGGGTTTCATCATTGGTTTCACCACGGTTCCATCATTGGTTTCACCACAGTTCCATCATTGGTTTCACCACAGCTCCATGATTGGTTTCACCACGGTTCCATCATTGGTTTCATCACGGTTCCATTATTGGTTTCACCACAGTTCCATCATTGGTTTCACCACGGTTCCATAATTGGTTTCACCACGGGTTCCATCAATGGATTCAACAAGGTTCCATCATTGGTTTCACCACAGTTCCATCATTGGTTTCACCACGGTTCCATCATTGGTTTCATCACGGTTCCATTATTGGTTTCACCATGGGTTTCACTGCGGGTTTCACCGCGGCATCAAACGTCCATGTAGCCTGCGCCCCTTTGGATTTTCGTTCCTCATCAGGCTGACACTCTGTGACATTAGTGAAATATTGTTTAACCCGTAAACATAACTCATCCGCTCAGCTGGAGAAACGTTGTTGTAAGACGCAATAATCTTCGAAAGTCACAGACATTATATCATACACATTGAAAATGAAAACCCTTTCACTATGGACATTTCTATGGCGTTGATCAGAACATCCGTTAATGTAGACTACTATAACTCGCTAGTCCGAACACCTACTAATCCGGACTACTCCCACCCACCTGTCTACCGATAACCCTAGTACACCAAGTCCAAACACCCATTAATCCGACAAGTATGATTCGTTAGTACGACCATACGCCAACCCATACAATTGTAATACAACACCCTAATTATCAGATTCGCAGAGATACGTATAAACATCAACGACAGAGATTAAATCAGTCTCGATTTTAGCGGAAATAGTGTCCATTAGGTGTAAAAGGCAAAGTAGGGATGCAAATGATGAGAAACAGATGACGGGGCTTGATTACATCTGAGTATTCCGATGTTTATGTAACCACCTTACGTCGTCAGATCGCCGGTAATTCACAACCATGATGGATTGCCTGGAACTCATTGTTGTAACAGCTCGCTCGCAACAATGATTTTTGTTCTCATACTCAATAAACTGATACCCCTAGGACCCGAATTTCTCTGAAATCTATATCAACTTCAAAATCGTAATGAAAATCAAGAAGGATTGACTTTTTTCCACCCTCCAGAGAAATTCCATATTTTAGACTCACCCCAACCACATCACAATTTGTTTACCTCATTCATCACAAGACTCTGGTTCGAAACATTTTCACAAAAGCCATAACGTTTCCCAGACCTGGGGCTGTTTAGAATGAAAAGTGCATTTGCAACTGACTGAACAGATTGATTTCATAGTAAAAGGTTTAAAGCTGGGCTACAACCTGCTGTCTTGGCCTCCCTGTGCTTAAAGGGTAATTTAAGGACATTAATATGGCTTGACAAGATTAAAGCTTTTGGGTCAACTGAACACCATGGTAAAACTACTGCTATATGTTTCAGCGTCTAACACCAGTGTCTGCCCAGTATACTCAAACATCAGCTCCACTTAGCGTTAATGATCGTTTAGGAACCTGATGGGGTTTAAGTGTTAACACGCTACGCCAGTCCGGATTTAATTTCACGCATAGGTATGATATGAGAATAATTTGGTATACACCGTCATGAGGCCGTGATACCGATATATTCCGATATATTCCGTTTGTTGTACTATCTTCCTTACTAATGCACCAGTCTTTAAGATTTAATTTGATTCCGCTATTTTCAGTCTATGTTTGTAAATAATGACGAAAAAGTTTATTACCACAATAAATCTCTGCCAAAAGCAGAATACCTAACATCATTCCAATTATGCTAAAACATTAGTATTTCAGCGTTTTTGTCGCTAATATATTCGTGAACATATCTACTTCCCATCAAAAGTTTAGACTCACTTAAAACACTCACTATGTGTTATGTATACATCGAAGATTTATTTCTCCACTAACATGGGGGAACCAACTGCAAATTTTTATGCAGATGAATTGCTCGAGGATCATGCATCGAATTGCTGAAAAGCATGTGCACATATCGCGCATGTGAACAGCTGGGTTTTGATGTAAAGTTTTGTTAAGTATTCGCCAATTTTCACTGATTTTTATCATTTACTGAAGTCATGACAATGATCTTTTCAACTTTACGAATTTGTTTTACAATACATCAGTTCAGGTGTAAACAGTACCTTTCAATAGTATGGAATATTTTGCAAAATTTAGTTTAGAACAGTTGCCTGATGTAAGTGGCTATATTTACACTAGTGAGGTTAAAGTTTTTTTGGAAAGTATAGTATAAGTCAAAATGGGGGACTGTGTGAGTGAGCTTTTAGCTTTACACTGCTTTACCAATATTCCAGCAATATCACGGCGGGGAACACGAGAAATGAGCTTCACACATTGTACCTATGTGGGGAATCAAACCCGGGTCAGCGTAAAGCATTTATCACTAGGCTACCCCATCGACATAAACGTGAAATTGCCAATTGGTCACTGATGTGTCAAATTTAAAATTTCTTCACCAGAACAATTTTGATCAATTTGCTGAGTCACTGAATGCTGTAACTGTGCTCAGTATGTTTTGAATGATAAATGAATCAATCGTATTACCTCTTTGAAACCATAGATGGAAGCTCTCGTCTCTAGTCCAGAAGCTTTTAATTTTGTACAATTATACAATGCTACAGTTGGCTAATCTTGGTTGGGGATAATTAGATCCGACACCAAATAACACAGAACACTTAGAATACGAATATGTTCCAATAGTACCGTTCGCATTAATATTTTCAGAGAAGATGATTCAAGACCCCCTCAATTTACATCCAGCCAACACAATTACTGTTATTCCCAATGGGTCGATAGTCATAAAAAGTCCAATACTCCTTGGCGCTAACAGGGAATATCATAGGTTTCATCCACAACCGTTTCCGGGCAACAAAACAACAAGACACCAGTTTCTAATAGGTCCACCGGACCTTCTGAACTGATGAACCACCTTCTCTGGCAGCGCGGGCCATGAAATATTATGCTGCCCACCGCGTGTGGTCTCCAACTGGGGCGATGAAGTATGCTACGGGCATGCTCACCGGGCGTAATCACGAGAACTCTCTAACCATATTAATCAGGAAAGGAATATCGACATTGGGATGACATGGTATGGTAAACCAGCTCTGGCTTGACCGACCTTTTAGTGATTTGCAACATCTCTACAATTCCCTCGCCCACAGCATAACGCCGTATCGATCAAGGGTGAGATTTGACCTAGGAAATGGTGGATTATCGTCTTATGCAACGAATAAAGGTATAATGTTTGATGTGCCGTCGAGTGTGTAAACAGCGGTCTCACTAGCTGTTAATGCTCATGGTCTATAAATACATAGTGAGATTACTACGTCTTCAGAGATGACACAAACTCCATCACGGCCCGTGACACATTCGATTCCCAGTATCGTAGTTGCTACCACTGTTTCGTGCTTCCATTACAAGAATCTTCAAACATTTCCATCAACCCCTAAATGAGGTGATATTTATATTTGTAGATATGTCTTTGGGAAATTCGTTACAATAAATTAGGAAAGGTTTACTAGTAACTTACTGTTTCTTAAATTAATTTATTTGTTGTTTATTCAATTAGATGTTTTTGAGATTGCAAAATAATTGAAAACGTACCACACTCCATCTTCACTAAAACTAATTACATGATAGTTCAAATGGAAATTCAAATTGACAAACAAACAAAAACATGCAGCTTGGGAAGACTACTCGGCGTCAAGACAGTCTTCAGTTGTCAGTCAGCAACGACCAGTAGGTTGAGCCTTCAACTACAAGCGTTGATATAGGAGGCCTGGCACTGTGGGGAGTTGTGGCAGTGACTGTGTGGAGAGCTCGGCGAACTGGTCCTGGCTCTGTGAAGCGTGGGTTGATACATTCGTTCAAGAACACATCCATACTAAAGCTTAGTCAATGAAAATATGTATGTTTGATAGAAACAAACAAACAAATCAATTTAAACTGAAAAGGAGTCCGATTGAGATGGGAGATGAGGAAAATCTAAACGTGCTTCAGTTTCGGTTTTGCATTACAGGAAGGGCTCGATGGTAGAAAATAACATGGTTCAGGGACTGTGAGACAGAACACCCGTGCTCCTGTGATTCACCGAAATGGCGAACATCTAACACTTGCGTCACTCTGGACCTCCGTGAGACATCGAGCTGATACTGTACAACACGATTATTCAAAGCACCGTTAAACCCAACTTACGTGCCCATGATTCAAGAATCCGGACCTTCATTAATCCAGACCTTTATTAATCCGGACAATTTCACGAAGGACGATGTTGTTGTGAAGGGTTTCCTCTGAGTATATCAGTGTCAATTCTCAATTTCAAGGCTACATAAACGTATATGGCATAATGTTTGTTTCATAAGTAGCCACAGCCAAATATGTGTTTAAATTGGTTCTTGCTTGGCAGGGCGGTGGTGTAGCTTATAGTTTGGCATGAAATGCATGTGGACCCGGTTTTTTGTGAATATCTCTTCATCCAATGACCCAATCGATCTCAAACTGTGCAAGTGGATGTTTTGTCAGACAACCTAATCACATTGTAAATCACCGATTTTATGCATTTGTATTAAAGAATCTGTCTATGTAACTGTCAACAAAATAAACAGCAGAACGCAGAAGGCTTGCAGAGGGAGGGAGCCAATGACCTGTAACAGCGGCAGTGTTGGGTCATAAAGGTCAACGTTCGTCAATGTAGGTCAGCTATGCTGATGACCCTGATGTCAAAAGAATCTAACTTTGGATGCCTACCTTTTTGTACAAGGTTTTGTTTATTGGTTGTTGGTTTATTTTTCACAATTGTTAGCACGATGTTCTTTTTCATGCCAAGAGCAAAAGTTGTACGTTTCATGTAATCCGACACCTTATAAATTGGTTTGCTACGTTTGCTCTCTTTTTAAAAAAATTTAAACACATTGCTAATTAAACGTTTAGCATCATCTGAATAAGCTTTCATGATGACAGCTAGAAGTAGTCAATGTGAATGTTCCAAACGGTCTATCACTGTGCAGTGCACAGGTAACTATCATGAACTGCACGTGCATTTACCTTTATGACCCAACACTGCCGCTGTTACAGGTCATTGGCTCCCTCCCTCTGCAAGCCTTCTGCGTTCTGCTGTTTATTTTGTTGACAGTTACATAGACAGATTCTTTAATACAAATGCATAAAATCGGTGATTTACAATGTGATTAGGTTGTCTGACAAAACATCCACTTGCACAGTTTGAGATCGATTGGGTCATTGGATGAAGAGATATTTACAAAAAACGGGTCCACATGCATTTCATGCCAAACTATAGTAGTTAGGCGTTCGCTCGTCACAGGTATTCGTTTCCCAACATGGGTGCAATGTGAAGCCAATTACTGGTGCCCCCCGCCGTGATATTGCTGGAATATTGCTAAAAGTGGCGTAAAATTAAACTCACTCACATATTCCTACAGCTAATGGTGTCAGTACAGCCGTTATCTCAAAGCACCCAACAGGTCAAATGAAACACTGATAAGACGGCATTAAACAATATTTGCTGACCCAATTAGCATCAGTTTCACCTGGGCTAATACATCTGTGGGAAAGTTCATTAAGCGTGTCCCACAGAAGACTTATGTTTGATTCTCCATATGGGTACAGTGTGTGAAGCCCATCCCTTCTGTCCCCTGCCATCACAGGAATATCCTGGAATATGGATAAAATGACAAAAATGTGCTCACTTGTTTATTTCAAAGGCACTCTACTTGTGATATACCAATACTCACTTACCCTTGCTGTGCAGGGGCTGTTGGTTTAGCCTAGTGGATAAAGCGTTGGCTCGTCACGTCGATGACCCAGGTTCCATTCCCCACATGGCTACAATGTGTGAAGCCCATTTCTGGTGTACCCCCGCCGTGATATTGCTGGAATATTGCTAAAAGCGGCGTAAACCAATACTCACTCACTCACTCAACCCGTGAAGGTCCGGGTTAGAATGAGCCTTCAGTAACCCATGCTTGTCGTAAGAGGCGACTAACGGGATCAGGTGGTCAGGCTCGCTGACTTGGTTGACACATGTCATCAGTTCCCAATTGCGCAGATCGATGCTTATGCTGTTGATTACTGGATTGTCTGGTCTAGACTCGATTATTTACAGACCGCCACCATATTGCTGGAATATTGCTGTGTGAGGCGTAAAACTAAACTCACTCACTCTTGCTGGGCAGTGTATATTTGTAGAATGAGGTCTATGACTGCCTAATAGGTGTCTGTATATCACATGTGTACAGTTCAATTAACAATTTCTCATAAAAATAGCCGTTATTTAGAGTGAACGAGTTTTACGCTGCTTTTATCACTATTCCGGGAATATCACGGGTGGGGGGGACACCAGACATGGGCGTCACACATTTTACCCATGTGGGGCGTTATTTAGTTGCGATACAGAAAAACAACGAATAATAATTTATTGCATCGTGGTATTGATCCTACTGGTTGTATACTCGCCATATTAAACCCGTAACAAGTAAATATCAATATGGAACCATCCATCTTTGAATAACAGCAGCATGATTCTGACCTTTTTACATTTCCAAGACTGGACGGCGTTCCTGCTAAATTAGCCCCTCCGTAGAGCCATTGACCCATGGAAAAAACACGGTCAAGCTCGCGGTATGTTGTTTATAATCCTTAATGAAACACGCAGTCCTGGATTAGCTCGTACGTGAGATATTGAAAAAAGCATTCAAGCATTATGGACTTAATGTGACAACTGAATACATGCATGATATTAATCATTGTTCGCGGTTGACAATACCTGGCCATAGAGACAGCGTTGTGAGCTACGTACACGAATGATTTATGAACATATTGAAAAACGCATCAATGTACTAGTTACTTTGTTATTCTTATGATGTAGCATTTAGCATAATGATCCATGGTAATATGAATGATTAAATTAATGTCATTACTCCTGCATAATGGTATCGCATACATCTTTTTTTCTGGGGAAATGAAAGTAAGTGTTTTTTTTCGAACAACAATGTTGTTGTTTTTGTATTTTTTAAGCTTTTTCCGTTTCTATAGCTGTTTTTCATTCTATTATCAGAACCAAATTTGCTAAATAAATTATCTTTCTGGTAAGGTACTTCAGAGCGCTTCAAAGAAATTTATTGGAATCGTTTTCGGTAGTAATTCACGTCAGCGAGTTCACATTTGGAATCTTATTAACTTCAATGAATATTCTAAATTCAGCAAATGACGTAACGGCTTTCGGGAGGTAATTTTTTTCTCGACAAGTTTTCCATAAAGGACGGACAGAAAGAGGTTTCGATAGATTAAAATAACCCGCTTCTTCAACAAATTACCTGTTATTGGTTTATATTACCTTCCAAAGAAACCAATTCAGCCAATTTGTAACAACATTAACAGCCGGGCGAAAAATGGTAATGCAAGACGGATCAATTTACCAGGCCGTGACCGTGTGAGAGTCCAAGGAATTGAAACAACTTAAAGCTATAGATCTAATTCTGAAACGGACAATCGTATTATCTGTCAGTAGAATAGCCATTTCCTGGCCCGCCTCGAGGGAAGGCTCCTGATAGCGTTAAGACAGGTACACGGGCTAGCGTTTTTCGTTTCGCGTTTTTTCACGCGAGATTTTCTGCATGAGATGTTAGGAACAGTACTGCCATGACTTCATAATTGAATTTGCGTGCCCCGTTAGGGTAATTTGAATATTCCTCCTTTACCGTTATCCTTACTGGAATTAGATATAATGGCTATGTGTAATTCAAACAGAATTACGTTGCTTTCAAGCGTTTGGTGATCATCTAATTTAAGTTCTTAAAAATATCGTTTAGAATCATTATATATTTTTAGGAGCCTGTTTGACCATGAGTCTAAATTTATTTCTATTTCATAAAACATGTAATTTTGTTTTAAACTTATTTCAACTAAAAATGTGAATTTGGTATTATCTTAAGATAGCATGTGTACATGCATAATTAACATCAATTCACTAAAGCAATAACGAATTGTCAAACCGTACTGTCTGGATATTTTTCAACGGCGAGCAAATGTCTTCTTCTGGATATTCGGATTGGTTCATCACCAAACAAGTGTTATTAGTCAACCTGTTCGGAAAACAACAACAGTCGGCCTGAAATATAGCAATAAACCATTCGTTATGATTTGATTTAACCATCCCTATATTGATTCTTTCATGTTGGATAACTTTTGTTGTGTTTCGTACAATATGTATTCTGACAATGGTTGGGGAGCACCACACCCTTATTGATTTCACCCTTGTAAACGTCCAACACGTCACTTCACGTCATCTCCTGTATCCATAAACTGAGATTCTGCAATGTAATTGAAATATTGTTAAAGCGGTATTAAGCTGACTTAATTGTACAACACTTACTGAGAAATGAACTTGACTATCTTTGTATTCTAGAAAAAAAGGTTAGTTTTTTTTTATAACAATGTATGCACAAAATAGAAAATGTGGCAAATTGAACCCCAGACAATGTTTTCTTTCAGAGAGCTAAATCAACCTTTGCTGGAACTGGAATTATTTTTAATGTGTTCTCTGGGTCTGTGAGACTGAAGATCTTGAACGTATTTTCCTACAACCTATGGCCATTACAAGACAAGACACTCCATCCGTCTGTTCTTGAGACAGAATATGCAATTCCATCTCTTGAAGACGCATGGTAGGCCAGCTCGTTTTCTTTAGCTTCTTATTATGAAGGGTGACGAGGATAACCGAATCTGAGGATAAAGCACACAGACAATGTCTTCTCTAAGTTGACTCTAACTGAGGATGTTGAAGGTAATCTTCGTCACAGATAATGTTTTCCTGAAAACTAATCACACGCAGCAGCTGTATCCAATCACGGACGTTATTTCACTATTAACCAATTTTTACGAAAAACATATTTCACACTTTCCTAGATATGATTTTGTGCCTTTTATAAAAAAAATTACGAAGGCGATCAGTTCTAGTGCACATAGCTAAAAATAGGCATTGTTGTTGTGCCAGGGTCACAGGTCACAGCGACCAAGATTCGTTCCTATGATTAATTTTTGCAAATTAAATTAACTCAGTGCGAAGCGTATCCATTGTGTTCATCATTGGTGAACACATCTGGTGTTTCTGTTGTGAAGTCGACGCTGAACATTAATTAAATAATGTAAGACCCGGAAGGTTTAGTGAGAGATGGACACAAGATTAAAAATACGGTGACTAAATACTTGGCCAAATGTTTATCCGGCACACAACCAAGTTCTATTCCAAATATGGAGACCGTGATGATCGACGATAACAACAATATTGAAATAGAAGAAATGCAATAAATGTTGAAGTCGTTCGTCAACAAAAATGACAAATGACTATGATGATGAAATGCGATATATTTTAAGGTTTGACTCATTAATATTGCGCGAATCTTCCCCAATGCTCAAGACAATCCAGGCATACTTCTTATCAAACAATATCAACTTGGTTCATCCCATCCCATTCTTCATGCAGAGCAGCGCCAAGTTCGTTGAGAGTAGTGAGTGGTTGGTGACGTAGGCCTACTCACCATCCAAGGATATCACAGACATGTGCGATGGGTGGCCAGTCTAGAGTGCTGATCAAGGTAAGGTGGTTATGTTCTCCTGACGGAGGTACACTGTAGCAAGACATCCTTTTCATCAAACGTACAATGTCAGCTTGGTTCATCCTGTTCCATTCTTCATGCAGCGCAGCGCCAAGTTTGTCCAAGGATATCTCGGATATGTTCGATGAGTGACAAGTCTGGACTGAGTGCTGACTTTGGTAAAGTGATTATTTTCTCCTGTTGGAAGTACACTGTAGCAATACGAGACCCGGTTACTCTCGAGGTGTCATTCTGAAACAAAAAACTACGTCCACATCGGCGCCAAAATGGCAGCAGTGTACCTCTAATATTCTGTCCCGGTGGTACTTCCAGTACCACGTCCGTGAGTAACATGTGAAGACGGTCTACCAGTCACACTGACCCCACCCACTCCATTCCTCTGTTCGCCTGTCATAGACATCCAAAGTAAAAGTTGATTCATCCGAAAACATTACGTGTGCCCAACGACGATTGATAATAATAATAGTGCCTATTTATAGTGCGCACAAATCCACGCTCGTAAGCATGCTCATAGTCTGTCTCACAGTCCCTGAACCACATTAATTTCCCTAATGCCAAGCCCTCTCTGCAGTGCTAAAGCCCTAAATAAAGCAAGTCTAGATTTCCTCAGGTTCTGAATCTCTGGTCTCCCTAGGGCTCCTTTTCAATATAACTGGGCTTGTTTGTTACTATCAAAATTATATATATTCAGAGACTAAGCGTTAGTCTAGCATGCTCATGGCGCTGCCTCTCTTGTCGCCAACGACATCTTGCATTAATGTGACGGTCCGTCCATCGTAGGGCAACGCATGGACGTCGGGCTTGTACGTTCCATCAGTGGAGCCGATTATGAATCGCCTGTCCACTCACGCTAACACCTCTAGCTCTGTGAAGATCGTCTTCAATTTGCGAAGCACTTTGACCACGGTTTTGTAACACTGTGAAACGGCATTGTGAGCCAGTTTTGTCGTTCTTGGACGACCAGATCGACGTCTGTCATCAACATTATTTATCTGTGGATGTCGTGATTGTCATCTGCTAAATACACACTGTACAATGTTAAGAGCACGAGCCACAATGCTCTGTCTTGTCCCATCTTTCAATGTGACGTTCTTGACGTAACAGACGCCGCTTCTAAAAAGTTAGTTAATTGTGTGTAAGACAATATCAAAATATCACTGAAATGTACAGTAACATACGAACACATTTCACTGCAAATTTCAAACTTTAACGCTACCATGATCATGTGCACACCATGAAAAACGCTTGCACGAAATTGGCGTGTTTGCACGAAATTCATAACACTTTCTGAATGGAATAATCATTTTCTAAATCATTACAATCATAATCATTATCTAAATTATTACAGTCATACATCTTGTTTCCTAAATAACCCCCCATCCCTCCAAAAAAAAAAGAAATAATAGAAGCAAAAAACAAACAAAAACCCTAAGCAACCGAACAAACAAAAAATAAAAAAATGGAATAACTCCTAAATGGTATAAAGGTATATAAATACTCATTTAACAGTACATATAATTTCTCTTTTAACAGTATATAATTACTCATTCAATAGTATGTAATTACTCAATCAAGAGTACATAATCACTTATTAAATTAGACTGACTGTATGTTTCATGCAGAATGCTGTTGGTCAGGCCTGCACGTATAGTCTTTGTATCACCACAGGTCGCGGGTTCGAATCCCGGAGTCACCTATTTACACTTACATAATGATATGTTTCTGGGTTGGCCTGCACCATGACCGTACTCACGGATTTGGTAGAAATGGAAAATGTCTGAGACCAGATTGTGAGTAAAATGGTTTTAGAATTGTGAATTTCCCGAGGTATAAGATAAGCCCAAAGAACGCCCAAGTCTGGGTGGGTATTGACGCAAAAGACTACTTAAAGACCAAACTGATGAGAAAATACGCCATTGTCGATCCTTCTCTTATCGCACTGGTCAAAGCACCTATCAGACATTGGCCAAACCTCTTCCGAATAATGTGTCACCAATCACTACGTAAATCCAAGGAAAGTGGTCTTATAAAAGCGACCAACTAGCAATTTGCTTCTGGCACTTGACACTAGCAAAGCCATTCTCAGTTGCTGTAATATACACTGCAATCGACAACACACGTACAATCATGTGACTGGGGAGCCTTGTTGTAAGTTACGAAATTGATCACGGCTTCTGTGAAATGCAGACCAGTGCGTGGAAGTGGATAAGTAACGTGATATTGCAGGCTGACGTGACGGAGCGGCATTTATGGGAAACAATGGGATGCAGTTTCAGAGCAAGGGAGTAGCAAAGGGTTCAAGATTGATGCATTCGATATTAATCTATTAAAAAGAGTTCAATCAGATTTGTTTCCAATCCGCATAATTGACACACGTGGAACATAAGAAACAGTATACACACGTTTCATGCTGACTGAATTGAAATAAACAAGAAACCTTTATTCAATTGTGTTGTATTTGATACTAATATCATCTTTATGTTTTGGACCTTACATTTAACGTTATATCGACGACTGCATTAAGCCTTGGAACGTTTTAAATAACGCTTCCTGATAATTTGGGAAAATCCAATTTTCAAAGTAATCTTTATATAATTAGTACACTGAACGGTATATACATATCCGTGGCTGTTCGAGTTATGGGAACGGTGTAGTAGCTCAGTGGATAAAGTGTTCGCTGGCCACCCAAGAACGGGTTTGATACCCTGCATTGGCGGATCGGGGTGGGGGGTTGACTCAAGTCAGATTTGAAAATTTGAAAATTGACTAAAGACCACTTTGAAGTTCATTTTTGGACATTTTGATGTAATCTTGAACTTTTAAACGCGTTCTCACTGTTTTCGCAGCAGACACCTTGTCGATTCCCTCGTGAGTTCTCAGGAAAATATCACTGAATATTCATGAGTCAAAGTTCAAATTCTTGACGTTTTGACTGTTTGGAATTTGGTCATTATTAATGAATGTCAACTTTCGAAAAAAGGGTCTTACAAGATCTGATGGATATCATTACCTGATTGCGTTTTAGTTGCGTTTGATACAGGTCAAAATTCCAGAATGTTTCATCACGATCGTGGATACAACAATTGGATCAATACATTCGGCCTTTGGGTGATAACAAGTTCCGTTCTATCCTAACACTTTTTGTACTTGAAACATATGTTCTCTGGATGAACATTTGACTTGCCTTTGCGTGCGTTTGGGACAGGATAAATACTCAACATAAGGTGTCAACACTAGCTGTTTATCCTTACGCGTTCTTATGATATCGTCGGAATCATGTAATGGATTCCCCTTAAGCAGGTATTTCTTATGATCATATCAATACTTTTATCACTTTTAACGTATGATCCCCAGGAAGTAGAAAATGAAGTTGCCATGTCTCTTCGCCATGTAAATAATTAAAGCAGGCCCTGTATGTACATACGACTGATATGTCAACGTACCTGTACGATTATTAATCCACATCTTTTGCAACGTAACGGTCCAAAGTTTCTACGCAATTATTTAATATTTGGCAATAGTTTCATCATGATATGATCCTACTTTAGTCTGTCTCACAGTCCCTGAACCCCATTATTTTCCCTACTGCCAAGCCCTCTCTGCAATGCTAAAACCCAAAATAAAGCAAGTCCAGATTTTCTCAGGGATCTCTGGTCTCCCTGGGGCTACTTTTCAATTTAAATAGGCTTGTTTGTTACTATTAAACTTATATATATTTTCAGAGACTAAGTATTAGTCTAGATCCTACTTGTGCGATTTGTTTTAGGAAATTTTAGCTTCAACAGTAAATGTAACTATCAATTTATTAAACAAATATGATAATCTGATTAATATTTAACCCACTATCTTTGTATCTTCTGAGAATCTGATCCAGTTGAAAATAGATGCTATGGATAAGTCACTAAGACTTTGTAAAGTGATAGGGTACGTGCGCTGTAGTCCTGTAGCATAATACATTAATCTTGCTTTCTTGGTTTCTGGTTTCGATAGTAGTCCAGAGGGAAGGTGTCCATTCTGACGGCCGCTGCCCATTGTCTATTGTCATCGTTTGATGTCCGTTGTCTGTTGACCGCTTTCTGTTGTCTATTGTCATTGTTCGATGTCCGTTGTCTGTTGACCGCTTTCTGTTGTCTATTGTCATCGTTCGGTGTCCGTTGTCTGTTGAACGCTTTCTGTTGTCTGTTGTCATTGTTCGATGTCCGTTGTCTGTTGACCGCTTTCTGTTGTCTATTGTCATCGTTCAATGTCCGTTGTCTGTTGACCACTTTCTTTTGTCTGTTGTCATTGTTCGATGTCCGTTGTCTGTTCTTTCTGTTGTCTATTTCGATGTCCGTTGTCTGTTGACCGCTTTCTGTTGTCTATTGTCATTGTTCGATGTCCGTTCGATGTCCTTTCTGTTGTCTTTTGTCATCTGTCCGCCGCTGTTGACAGCTTTCTCTGTCTACTGTCATCGTTTGATGTCAATTGTCTGTTGACCGCTTTCCGTTGTCTATTGTCATTGTTCGATGTCCGTTGTTCTCCGCTTGCTATTGATCGCTCCGCTTTGTCTGTTGACCGCGTTGTCTATTGTCATTGTTCGATGTCCGTTGTCTGTTGACCGCTTTCCGTTGTCTATTGTCATTGTTCGATGTCCGTTGTCTGTTGACCGCTTTCTGTTGTCTATTGTCATCGTTCGATGTCCGTTGTCTGTTGACCGCTTTCCGTTGTCTATTGTCATCACTTGATGTCCGTTGTCTGTTGACCGCTTTCCGTTGTCTATTGTCATCGCTCGATGTCCGGTTGTCTGTTGACCGCTTTCTGTTGTCTATTGTCATTGTTCGATGTCCGTTGTCTGTTGACCGCTTTCTGTTGTCTATTGTCATCGTTCGATGTCCGTTGTCTGTTGACCGCTTTCTGTTGTCTATTGTCATCACCCCATGTCCGTTGTCTGTTGACCGCTTTCTGTTGTCTATTGTCATTGTTCGATGTCCGTTGTCTGCTGACCGCTTTCTGTTGTCTATTGTCATCACCAGATGTCCGTTGTCTGTTGACCGCTTTCTGTTGTCTATTGTCATTGTTCAATGTCCGTTGTCTGTTGACCGCTTTCTGTTGTCTATTGTCATTGTTCGATGTCCGTTGTCTGTTGACCGCTTTCTGTTGTCTATTGTCATTGTTCGATGTCCGTTGTCTGT